AAATCAATCATCGACTAAATAACAACAAGCATAAACTAACATGATAGTCAATGAGTGAGGAAGAGGTCAATTTGAACCTGACCCTCTGAGGTCTTCAAGACCTAAATCCCGATGAAGGAAACGATACGAACACCAAGCAACGTTCATGAAGATTGCTTGACAGACTCTGCCGCAATTAATGCTATATTTTCTATGCCCCACCATTCAGCTGTGAGTACCATCAGCTTATATGTATTCTTATCATGTACAGCCATTACACCCATAATTAATTATTAATGTTAACAAATTCGAAAGTTATTTTGTACTTTACCATGTTATTGAAATTCTATTCAGAGTAACTGTTGTAATGGCAGCATCAGGAAGAATGCGTAAATTTGGCTCCCACTTCAGATTTGGCTGAGGTTTTTTTACATTTCATCCACATTGACTACAAGCCAGTGGTTCTCAACATTTTCGTTCGCGGACCAATTCAGCGGAACAAAAGACCCTACGGACCACCTACCGGTCCCATCCCACCCATTTTCCCTTGCCATCAAGAAAAAAAAAAACATCAGAATTTATGGGAAGAATTGCGCTGCTTTTGATGAAAATTGAGTTTTAGATCAGCACTCGAACCACCTGGAGGACCCTTTCGAACAACCAGTGGTCTAGGGACCACACTTTGAGAACCACTGCTGTAAGCTCATGATTTATGATAAACTCTACAATACGGAACTGGTTTTATGACCTATCTGTTTTCTGAGGAGTGGGAATCGAAAAGCTATGTTAGACTTGTAGCAGTTTGTAAATGCATGTTTTTTTGTCTATCTACATTACTGATATGACTTAGATCAACCTATGCAGCCGTGGTTTTTGTGTAGTTTAAGTGGATATGTTATATAATATCTATTTACGTGCTAAAACTTAGTTTATTACTCCGTCTTGCAGCACAAGCTAGTGTGTGAAAAAAAAAAACAGTTTTTTTATTCGCTTATCTAACAGTAAAAGCAAGTTACTCAGTAGAGTATATTCGTATCTAGCAGTTTTCCGGTATCTCGGACCCTGTTAACTTCAAATGCAATGCGTTGAAAGGGTGATTTGGACCGTGTTCTTTTTGAGATTTCTATATATAGTAATCAACGAGATGTCAGATAAACCTGACTTATGGCTGCTACAAAACTGACGTTGTAATAATTTTCTTCTTAAAGTATTGATGTTTGATTAAAGCCTGTTGGTCACGACACGCACTACAGCTTAAAATTGCGAACGTTTCATTTTATAACAATTTTGAGAGAAGAATATATAACGTATGGTGAACGATGCGTTTAGGTCCACTTAATGTAACCAAGAAGCTGTATGTTAGTGTGCGTAGTATATTTGTTTGTATTTTTTTATTTGAAAAGAAATATTTGTCATGACCACATATGATGGAAATCTTTAGTTTAACCGCAATATCAAAAATAGCCTACTCCGGAACGAAAAGGTAAATTGAAGGTTCGACCAGTTGTCATAAATATAATTCACCGCAAGTGAAGCTTTAATATAATTATGTACATGTTTGGAACTATGATTTTATTTAACGGTAAGTACGTTATGCTAGAGGCCCGGCATGGCCAGGTGGTTAAGGCA